TATGTCTTACTCTGAGCTGTTATAACAAAATATCATAAAGTAGATGGCTTATCTGTTATAGAAATTTATTCCTTACTGTTCTGCAGGCTGGAATTCTGAGATGACGATGCCAGTTCTTGTGAAAGTCCTCTTCTAGGGCCATCTCTTGCAGTATCCTCACCTAGCACAAAGGAAAGCACAGTTGGTCTTTAGCTTATTAGGGCCCCAGTCCCATTCCTGAGGGCTCTACCCTCATGACCTAATTACCTCCCACAGTACCAACTCCAAATACCATGATACTGTGGATTAAATTTCATCTTATGAATTTGGGGAGTGGCATAAATATTATTTTATATACTGTATTGGTACTACACAACACTGATAAAGCAAATAAAACGTTTAGCGATTTCTGGCTATCTTAAACCAAAATTATTAAATCTATCTGATTTGTTCAAGATTCATTTTTTTTTTTTTTTGAGGCAGCTGTGGTGCCACTGAGCTAAATCCCCAGCCCCAAGATTCACCTTAATAATGCATTCTGGATTTTTAAAGGTGTTTCTCAGCTACTAGTTTCTGTAATTTTTTTCTTTAAGATGTAGCAAAGTGTTTTGTTTCATTGTGTGTGTTTGTGTGTGCGCATGGGTGCTACTAGGGACTGGACCCAGGGTCTTCACATTGAGCTGTCTCCAGACTGAAATTTTTTAAATTTTAAGGCAAGTTCTCATTAATTCACTATGTTCCCCAGGGTGAGCTCAAACAAAATATTCCTGCCTCAGTCTTCTGGATTGCTGGAATAATAGGTTTGTGCCCCCAGGCCTAGCTTGGATTAAAGATTACTTTTTTAAATCTTTGTTAATCTGGGAACTACTCTCTCTAGAATTACTTATCGTTACAAACAAAATCAGAGTTCCTCACTGTATACATATTAATTAATGTATATTGCAGAGAATAGGGATATATGTCACAGATACCCAAAGAGTGAACAAGCTTTTCTCAATTACAGATATACAGACACATTCTGAATTTCAGGTTTATGACCAGTCACAAACATTCACTACCTCAAAAATACATATTTACTGTATTTCATCTAAAGTCCACTTTTCATATTAACATCTCCGGAATCTGGATGAGCTTTATGTTAACAGCCACTGGCTTTTTCACATTTATCATTGTTATAACTGATGGCATCTTAGGTGAAATGTACTTTTGTGTCACGGAAAAGCTATTCCATGACATGATAAAAAATGTTAAAACAGAATATACACAGCTTAGCTATTGCATGCTAATGAACCTATGCCTGTAATTCCAGGAGGTTATAATTCAGGCTTTGAATAAAATTGTTAAACTCAAACTGGCCTTGAACTCAAAATCCTGCCTCAGCCTAAGGCAGAACTAACGCTAAGAGTTAACCCTGAACTAAGCCTAAGAGAAAATTTTGTCCTTCACAAAATAATAGGTAGATCTCTGGGTGCAAGACGTGCAATGGTAAACAAAGGAGAGGTAGCACTAAACAAAAGAAATATGTATAACTGTGAACCACATTATATGTTTTTGTGTGTTTTGTTTTGTTTTGCAGTACTGAGGATCCAATCTAGGAGCGCTCTACCACTGAGTTACATCCCCAGCCATTTTTCTTTCTTTTTGAGAAAGGATTTCACTGAATTGCCCAATCTGGCCTCCAACTTGTGATCCTCCTCTCCCTTACCCTCTGAAGAGCTGAGCTCACATGTATAGTTTTAAATTTTCTAACAAAATTAAACGTTTTTAATTTTAAAAAAGCAGACAGGAGAAATCAGTTTTAAGAATACATTTTATTTAACCTAATTTTACTATAAGATCATTTCAAAAATATATATTTTTGAATGATGAGTATTTTACATTACTTTTTCCCCCGAAGTCTTCAAAATAGTGTATTCAGAGCATATTTCAATTCAGTCTGGCCACAACCCAAGTGTTTCTTGTGACTCTCATAGATACCTCAGCTCTACAGAGAAAGGTAAACTTGTAAGTCACTATTAGTGTTTTGTAGGTAGCTATCTTTGGAAGGGGAATAATTTTTGTTCTTCAAAGAGACAAGTCATGTCCAATCTAAACCTACCAGAATATTCGGTAAAAAGTAAGCTTATGATTTTATGGAGCTGGAGGTCAAATTGAGGACATGCTAAGCACGCACTCTAACACTAACCTACAATACCAGCTTACATGTCTTAATCTGTAACAGTAAAATACATGGTAATAAACAAACTATGTTCTACCCTTCAGCTTTCCTACTTAGACCTTCAAGACAACTGAGAAAGCCAGGTACAAGTTTAGACTGACTGGAATTCTTAAGACTCCCATGCTAGCAAACTGCAAAGCAGATAAGCTGTCTCTTGGTCTGTCCCCTGCCCTTGTCCCACTCCTGGCTCCTGTGTCACAACAGTAGGTCACATGCTGACGTGGACATCTCAGACTACACACATCCAAACTCTTAGATATCCAATTTAGAGCAGTGTCTTGGCTAATCCTTGTGGAAGTGCAATATGAAGCCATTTGGGCAGGGAACCCCAGGGTAGAGTCAAGGTGTCCTCAAACATAATCTAGAGCAGGGGAAGGAGATGTGTGGGCATGTCCACTTGGTTCCAGGGAGTCCTTGCCACATGTGGAAAAATGTTGGCTGGAGGAAGACCAGAGTAGATTCCTCTATGGATGGGGACCAGGCCAAGAATCCAACTTCCCTGGGTCTAAGAATGGTACTGGAAAAAATATTGTTAAAAGATTTCCAAGACTGATGAAATAAATTCACAAATACAGGACATTCATCAAGGAGTTAGTAAAAGAAAGAAAAATTACTCCACAATTAGGCACACTTTCATTAAATTACACAAAACAATATATCAAGAAAATATCTTAAAGGCAGGCAAAGAGAAAAATCATGCACAAAAAACACTGATAGCTATCTTCTCAATAGTACCTATGGATTATCTTTCAAGTGCTCAGAAAAAGCAACTGTCAACTGAGAATTATGAACACAAGTTCTCTGAAGAATCACCTGTGGTGAAGTAAAAGCAATGGTGGATAAAACAAATTAGAGTTTATGACCAGAAATCATTACAGGAAAAAAAATGAATCCAAAAGGATAGTGTGATATACAAGAGGAAATAGTTAAGTGAATTGATGAACATCTATTTTTAAAAGTGGCCTACATCAAGATGATTATAATAAAATAATTTCTATGTTAAGATAATAAACTAAAAAAACTAGAAAAAAGTTAAATGGAGGATGACTGGAGTGTTCTAAGGTTCTAATGTTGTTGGCAGAAAGATTTCCACTACTAATTTTAGTATTTGTTTGTTTGTTTGTTTGTTTCCTTTAGTCCTAGGGACTGAATCCAGGGCCTTTTCATTGAGCTACATCCTCAGCCCTTTTTTAAAAAAATTATTTGATACAGGGTCTTGCTAAATTGCCCAAGTTGGGCTCAAAGTTGGCATGCCCTCAGCCTCAGCCTCACATAGTGCTGGGATTACAGGCATAGACCACACCTGGCTAACTTTACAGATTTTTAAGTGTACAAGGTAAATTTCAAAGATAGTCGCTAAAATAATACAATTATAATTTGTAATTTATAATCCAGAAGAATAGAAAAGCATAGAATAAGAATATAGGTTATTAAAACAGAATTTTTTTTCCCAGTGGCAAAAAAGGCCAGCCAGGTGCGGATGGCACATATCTGCAATCTCAGCTACTTGCGAGGCTTGAAGCAGGAGGACAGTAAGTTCTAAGTCAGCGTGGGCAACTTAATGAGATCTTGTCTCATTAGGAAATTTAAAAAAAAAAGGTTTAGGGATGTAGCTCAGTAGTGAACGCCCTGGATTCAAGCCCCAGGACCACACGCACACACACACACCCAAAAAATTCCAAACAAAAGCATAGGGAATGTGAAACAAAGAGCAAAAAGTTGGACACAAAAACATCTAATGCAGTACACAAGGTTACCAGTACACCAAGTAAATCAGCCATATTGTTTAGAAGACAGATTCTAAAACCTAAGGATACAGAATACATAAAGTTTCAAAAGCAAAAAGTTGAAAAAAATCCCAAGGTAGCAACTAACTAAAAGAAAGCTGGGGAAATTACATTAATGCCTACAAAAGTAAATCTTAAATTCAATATTGGGGTTTGTGATGGTCATCATGTAATGATAAAGTTTCAGCTCAGCAAAAATAGGTAACAATCCCAAAGTCAGAAATTTTTTATAAAATAGTCCCTAGTTATAAATGGAAAAAAATCATCAGAATTATGGAGAATGAAATCCATCATCATAGTATAATCAAGGCAGCCCACTATATGTCATTATGTCAGTAATGCTTCTCCAATTCGTAAAATAACGCACTTCTATGAGAAGAGGATACCAATTATTTTCTAACAACTGCTCAAAAATACTTAAGTGTGAAAAAGTCAATAACACACGAATGAAACAGCAACCTTGAAATCTGCAGAAAGTTTCCAGGACCTCTTTTGTTTGTTTGTTTGTTTTTAAGTAACTTCCAAATATTTTAATTACTGTGTTAGCACTTCATCAAGTGGTGGGGAGAAGGAGGGCGACACAGAACCGAACGAACAGGCAAAGCAAACCCACAGGGAACGTGAACATCCACTTATTCTAAAAATACTTACTGAACACTTACTACATGCAAGCAGGCATTCTACTAATTAACCGCTAGTTCCAGCCTTCCAAGTACAAAGTGCCTTAAAAACTTTTTAACTGCATTCAGATATTTAAATGTTACTTAACACTGACTTAGATAAGCAGGAAAGATCTTAAATCGAGAAAATGGGCGCCAAGGACTTTTGGAGCAGGCAGCGACGACACCTACGAGGGGTCCTAGAGCAGCTCGTGCTCCGCCCTTCAGGCGAGAACGTGGTCAGCTCTGTCTGCCGCGGAAGGGGCCTGAGAGGGGCCGTCTGCGCAGGCGCGCGGCTCCTACCTACCCGGGAACGAGCTGGGTTCTGTCTTTCTGCTCGCGGACATGGTGAGTGCGGTTCGTCTTTGTGGAGCTCTTCGGATGGGTCGGGAAGAGACGGGGTGGTGTGTTGCTCAGCCCTGTGGTCACCGTACAGTTGTCTGTCAAGTATTAGAGAGAGGTTAAGACGCGAGCCTTGGAAGGTTCGGAGAGTGGATTAGTCAGCGCTTCCGGCAGACCTCGGCCGGTTAGGCTGCGGCGTCTAATTTTGTCTAGGCTTCGTCCCATTGGGCAGGCCTCTGAGGTTTCAGCGATCCGATTTCTTAATTCTAAAAAGTCAAGGCTCATTTGTGATTTTCTTCCCCGCTATTCTATGCATGTGTAGTTTTGTATATTTCCCTGACGTTTGGTTTTTGGCTCGAGGAAATCCTGAAGTCGTTAGTAATATAGACTCCCTTGAAGTCTTTGTAAATTCAAATTGCATCCCCAGGAAATTTGCTGCTGTTACTAGTGAAGACCTACTTACTGACTGCAGTGTACTCTTAATCACGCGGATGTAGAAACGTGAAAACCAGAGCAGCATCCTCAGCACCTGGGGACATGTTTAAAGACAGAGACTAAGGTTAAAGGTGAACATGGGAATTAATAGGGCTGCTTACTCGGAAATGGAAATAACTTAGAGGTGGGAGCCCAGAAGGTCCCTTGGAGTCAGATTTTGGATAAACAAGACTTCTTATTTCGGTTAGCCGGACGTAATTTTCCAAGGAACCAGAGATTTAGCTCAGTGGTTCTGTCACGTGCCCTGCAAGCCCAAGGTCCTGAGTTCAATCCCCGGTACCAAAAATAAAAACATTTCCTACCCTCTACATTATGCACTTGTTAATTTGTCTGGTAAGCTTTGATACTTTATTTAACTCAGTGATTGAAAATAAGCAACGGAGGCCAGGGATTTAGCTCAGTGGTGCTTATGAATTTGGGGAGTGGCATAAATATTATTTTATATACTGTATTGGTACTACACAACACTGATAAAGCAAATAAAACGTTTAGCGATTTCTGGCTATCTTAAACCAAAATTATTAAATCTATCTGATTTGTTCAAGATTCATTTTTTTTTTTTTTT